AGAATTTGAAAAATGATGCATTTCTACATTTAGCCTGAGTTTAAATAAAATAACATGATCTATCATTTTCCGGTACTAATAGCAATTCGCTAACCTTGGCAGCAGGCCCATCTTTCACAACTTGTTTGATGTAAATCCCAAGCTTATCTTGTCCAGCACCCTAAAGAACATAAGTGAATTAAAAGTCAATCGCTTTACAGTTCTTGCGGTTAGTAAAAGAAAAGCACCTTACGATTCTCGCGCGAGAAAAACGCACTTGAAAGGATCGTCACGCATGATTGATTAAGTATCGGGTATTACACGCGCGTCATTTGTACGAACAGGCGCGCGAAATTTTACCTGATGCTGTCAAAATAAACCCAACAAAAAACGTACCTTTGCGGCTACAATGCTCAGACCCATGCCTCCCTGACCTTTGTAGAAGGAAACGTCCATGATTTCAGGAGTCTAAGGAAAAAAATTCAAAGAATTTGCAAAAGGAAGTAAGATGAAGGCGGAATTTAATTACCAACCGCATGAGGAAGTCCACAGAAATCTCACGGAAATTGCCGTAGAGGCAGTTCATAACCGCTCGTATTTACCTGAGGAGGTCTTGAGGGCGTATCACCACCTAAGACAATGAAGAAGGAATGTTAAATATATGTATAACTGAAAAATACTTAACAATGTCCTAACCCTACTTGTGTTTTGAGTAAACATTTTCTTACCATTGTCCCTGTGTTTGGTATGATAAACCGTCCATAACCCCGATGAAGATGACTGAATAGTCAGTCTGCACAGACCTGAAACGCAAGTATCTCCAGTTTAGTTCCTTGTTCTACTTCCCGCCACAACACAGATCAACAAAATGCTATCGCTGACTTAAAGCAAGAAATGGTGGCTTGTATTTTGTCCCGTTGACTGACTGATGCCCACTTAAAAGAGGATATATAAGACGACAATTAGTTGAAAAAATATCGTCTCTACTTATATTTGGGACCCTGAAAGACTCGTCAAATTCCCTCAAAAAAAAATCTTTAAAGACTACAAGATATATTCTAGTCCATCCAAATCGTACCAAATCACTTTTAAATATATAACGGCTCGTTCATAGAAAACAGCAGATAAGAAAAGTATAATAAAGTTACCTGAATTTATCTGGCCGTATGGACGTTAAACGATACATGAACACGTAAATAGTTAATAGAACTTACCAATTTCCGCAAGGGGGTTCAAAAACTCCTTCAAACCAGGAGGGACACCTCGAATCACTTCACTAGAGTACCTGTCCTCAGGGAGCAAAAATGGGAGCTGAAGCTGAGGGTCCTCTTCAAGTGTTACCTCTTGGCCTTGGTTACGAATGAGCTCATCTGCTGTGTTTTCAGCGACGGCCACAACATTATCAATCAAATCCCTGTAAATGAAGGCTTATCGTTTAGTGATATGTGTAATAGCAACAAAAAAAATTAACTCCTCGGTAATTCCTTAGTCATTCTCACTACTCAGTTCCCGAAGACGTAACACAAGTTGATTATTTCCCATTTGAGTAACACCCGTGTAAGATAATTCATTTCCCCGAAGATGAAATCTGGTTCAAAGCTGCAAAATGAGTTTTTCTCTTAAGAGCCTGTCTTGAAAAAAAAAATGGAAACTTCTGCGACGAAGTATCAATAATATTGGAGCTGGAAATAGGCCAAAGTTATTTTAAAAAACGTGTTATTCATATATTAATATAGATATGCTTTCGTTACAAACCGCAAAACAACACTGTACTTACATAAAAATCAGATAAAAGAAATTAAACAGTTTATTTTACGTTATTTTGCATTTAAATGGCGTTATGCTCAATAGCCGCCATGATAGTTCTTCATATTATGCAAATTGGCCGCGCGGTCTGGCAGGGGCAAGCATTATAGAGGAGACAGTTCCTTGAAAATTGGCTCATCCCAACAGTGAAACATTTGTGCCGCAATGATTTTAAGAGTCAAATAAATTAATAGACGTTTTTACTTGTTAACTTTGCAAGTCATTTGTTTTCTAGAAATGCAACGAAATTGCCTATAATTTCGAGTATTACTAAACTTCACACTCCGCCGGGGCGTTAATTGTCCACTGGTTTTGTAGTAAAATTAACAAAAGCCATTACGCTACTGATTGGTTCCGTAATTGGTAAAGGGTCCATTTGCAAGCGCGCAACATTTGTTGGGGGAAGCAAATTTTGCTTCCGAGAAGCAAAACCTGGTCAGTCTAGTTCCTGATTTCAGAAAGGTTTTTTGGCTTACAAGAGTTTGCCAGAAGCAAAAGGCAATTTTTGCTTCCAACTCAGTTGCGCATCCGAAAAATATTTCGAGAAACAATGTTTTCGCGACAAATATAACTATTAACGTTTATATATGTTAATATCCGGCTTAGGGTCGGTCCCTATAGTGAAAAACTGTGACCTCGGGCAGGCCGAGGGCAGCATTTTCAAGACCTCGGTCACAGTTTTTCCCTATACGGACCTCCCAGCCGGCCAATAACATATATTTCTTTCTGGGCGACAGCCAAATTTGCAAAAACTAATCCTTCGATTAGTGAATGCGTTATACCAGGCATCACAAAGCATACAACATTTATAACAAGTAGGTATTGACGAGAAAAGGACTTGTTACATGATACAAACCTCGGAATACCGAGTTCATCAGGGGCTGGTCTGTAGTTTTCAAGTAGAGCACGTAACTGCACCGAGTTTAACTTGTAACATACAGATGAAATGGAATCAATGTCGCTGTGAGAATTCTTGGGAGACTGAAGTAGATGGGTCGCCTAATATGAAACAAAGAGAAAACACAAGTTTACAGTTAAAGCCATAGCTTACACAGCATTCATGTTCAATGCAAGTTTAATGGTTCGAATTGAAACAAAATATGCAAAACTTTAACCAGTTACTTCTTTCAAAAGATCCTCCACGAAAAATAAATGACAAACTGTTTTTCAGTTCCTCAAAATTGTGGTGTTTAGCCACTAATCAATGACCCCTTATGAGTCAAATGTAGCTAAAATTGATGGAAGGTACCTATAGTTGAACATTACAAGAACTGACTGGAATCAGAATTACAAACTAAACAGGATTTTCCTTGTCCAGTTGTTAGATTTGCCTGTATGAAGTCCCACCTGGAAAGAAGCTCATCACAGCTTTTCATTTTACTGTGTTCTCTTCCAATGAAATTCAGCACTGGGTTGCCAAAATGCATGATTCTTAATTACAATTCTACTGTGAATGAAGATAAATTTGCCAACTTTTTCCACGTTTAAGACAGATTTTCAACCCAACCATATCCAAATAAGTTCGAAGATTTCCAAAGACATTCCGAAGACCTCTAAAGACATCCAAAAAAATGGGAAAAGGTCCCACTCCAAAGAAAAAGACCTGGAAATGACCACTTGAGTTTTAACAACCCACCTGCACTACACGACACAAGTGACAGTCAGCAGCGAGTTCCAGGCCCTGCTTCTTGGCCCAGGTTTCCACCCTCCCCAGTCTCCTCCTCAGCCTGTGACCCCACTCTCTGGTACACAGGCCATACTGAGGCTGAAGAACCAGCTTGTTGAATATCCACATGTTGATATAGTGGAAGAGCTGTGAAAACACTTGAATGGTTAGAGCTGCATTCACTCTGCAACGGCGTAACAAAGACATGGCAGAAGTCAGAGTGTACAGGATATCAGACACAGTGGGTTTTTCATTGCCATGACGTCGCCGGCCACCTGAAAAGTACAAGCATTTTTTGAACAGTTAATTCATGGGCTGATTCAATTCTGCAGATGATGCAATCATCAAAAGTGAGACCAGTTCCATAACATAAAAACAATGTGTTGTTCAGTACACCTTTGACCTACCGCAGTGAGCAAAACTAGAAGATGGATTATCGCTACATACTACCGCGAAGTGCTGTGGGAGTTTGTTGTACTCAAGAGCACTGAGAGTTCCAACCCAGTAGAGTTATCCCCACTTACCAAGCCAGCTGTCTCCACCAATAGGCCTTCCTGATGGTCCATATCTAAAACTACGCTCTCCTGTGATATTATCAGGAGCATCAGGATCCATCATGGGGTCTAAATCACCATCTTCCATGTCAGCATCTTCTGTGATATCAAGGAATGCTGACATTGATTGCCGCAGCTCCTGTTCCACACACTGAACAAGGTGTCTAAATGCCATCTGGACTGACTGTGCCAACACTTGGTGGCTGTCTTTCAAGTAAGGTGATATGTCGACATCTTGCTTCAGGAAATGCAAGAGTTCTGATGAGTTTGCCATCCAGAAGGCCAAACTACCTGGAAGCTGACTTTTTTCCTGTCGGGAAAGATTTAACATCACGTAAGTTAAGAGATTCTCCTAGTCAAGTCAATTCATGCCTTCAATCCTAGCAGTGATTTAAATCAATTCATTAACTCAGGTGTACAGGGGAGGGGGAGTTGACCCCACTAAGGTTCTTTTTTCAATTTTGAAAAAGTGATTTTCTCTGTAATGCTGGAGGATAGAAGAACAGAAGGACATAAAGCAAGACAGTTTCCTAAAACATCATCTTGGTAAATTCAATATGTTAGTGAGAGATCTAAAGTAAAAAAAGATACGTACCTCAACCGTAGAGCGAACCATGTTGGCAATTTTCTGGACAGTGATGGCCAAGCGCTCACCACGCTGAAGTTTAGATAGTTCTTCTCGATATGCTGGGGAAGTACGATAGCGACAGCACATGTAAAGAGTATAAGTCGGGGCCAGTTTAAAGTGAACTCTATCACCATTGACTTCGCTGCTAACTGCAGCAAAGAAAGCATCTTCTCCTGATTCTCGAAACTCCAACCGTGCTGGAAGCTTGTCACCCATTTCATCATCTAGTGTGTCGTCAGCTGAGGTATGAATAATCTGAGGGGGTTGGTCCTGTCGCACTTGTGTCTGTAATACAACAAGTCCAAATCAATCAAAGAATAAACAAAGGAGGCAAAGAAAACATTTTGAGCTGGTATAGACAAGGTGTAATCATGATGTACAAGCCTGAAACTTATTCTCAGTATCCCCTATAAAACCCCTTACTAGCATGAACATTCAAACTAATACGATAATTTCATCTCCTACCAACAATTCGTCTTTATTTGTACTTTCCTCCAAAAAAACTCGACTAGCCCATCCAGGTCTATGCGGCCAACAGGGTTTTTGTGGTTTTGGTATCTCTATAACATCTAAAAATGTATTCAAACCAAAAATAAATAATTCTGGTGCTTTTTTGTCACGAAATCAAACTTTAAATTTCCTGCTTCAACTACACCCAATGAAGTTGACCGCGTAATGAAAGATTGGTGAGGAATGACATCACTTCAGGAACATCTCAAAGCTTCATGTTTCTATTTTGCTTGATTGACCACCACATTGTTTCACCAACTTTGGTTTGTTTGCTTTTTGTCGAAGAAAACTCTTAACCACTACTGAAACAACAGTTACCTGAACTAGCAGGATTTGGTAATTCCTGACTTGACGTCACGACCCATTCAGAAACCTAGACTCTCTTTTTGCACTGACTCACGGTCAACTTCATTGGGCATGGCTGAAGCGGGAACTTTAAAGTTAGATCTTCGGGCACTAAAATGTTGGAATCCGATTTTGATCCTTAGAATACCTTTTTACACATTATAGAGATACCAAAACAGCAAAAAGCCCTGTTGGCCATATAGACACTTTAAAGACAGAATCCATTAACTCAACTGCAAAATCTGCAAGCCCTAGGCTGTCACACACAACTTTCTTAAATGCACCCTGAACTGGTAAATCAGAATCAATTTTCAACTTGTATTTACTCACTGGTTTTTCATTTGTGTAGGTCTCAATTTCACCATCAACACCAAAGGTTGTCTCATACATGCCAGAGTGATCGTGATTGTTGGTCATCTCCACACTGTTCTGCTGTTCATACTCTCTATTTCTCCCTGCTGGCTCAGGCCTGGACAACAAAACAGAGTGCCAAAGTTAAACTTGAAGACAAATGATTTTGCTTCCAGGATACTCAATTCCCAATTCCCTCTATAAGACGTCCCTCAAGGTAGTTGTAATCATCATGTTGGACTAGATATTTGTCTTGATGAATACAACTACCATGATTTCCTGTGGGCATGTCTCGTACGGGTAATTGGGAATTGCAACTTGAGCCCACACTTACAACCGAAATGGCTGACTACTAGTGCGCTGTAGACACTAGACCACGTGACAGGCGCTCAACTCTTGTAGACAAATAAACAGATAAATAAATCAGATCGTGGCATAATGTAGCTAAACACTTCGTGTAAGCCACACAAAAACCAGTAAGTAGGGAGGGAGGCGAGAGAGTAAAAGGCAAGCTACAAACAGAATCAAAGCTTGAAGCAATTGTATTTTCACACACAGCTGGAATGAAAAGTTCTGTATCAGACAAGAAGAAGCAGGATGGTCCCAAAATGCTGTTGCCAGCATTGGCTCAAGTTAAAGTTAACCTAACATACATGCATGCATATACAGCTGAACCTATATATAACGACCACCCACTGGACTTGAGGAGCTGGCTGCTCAATACAGAATCACTAAAAAACACTCTGGGTGAGGACTAATGTTAATTTTAATGGTGTATCATACAAAAACACTTCATGCAAGGAAACAAGAAGACAATCAACCCTCCTTGAAGGGATCAATACTTTCAACAAATTTCAGT